CAAAAATGGAAATTCAACTACCTCAGCAGTTCAAAGTAGAGGATAGGTGATAGCTTGATAGAACTCCTATTTAGGCGGATGGATTTGACTATAAAGGTTGAATGGATGGATGATTCAATTGTCATCACACTATTCACCAATGCCCTACTGACTAGAGAACCACTTAAGATGACATCTGGGGGTCAGCTGCTCAAAGATGTTGGTTTTGGCCCATAAATATGCAATGGTCAAGAAAAAATCAAGATGAGAGACGTTATTCCACCCTTAGTTTATGCTATGTTATATTGGTAGCTAGAGAGATTGGGACATAATATACCCTCAAAGCCAACACGGGACAAAGGCATAGAGACCTTATTAAAAAACTTTCTCCCCTCTTTTTACGAGTACGTATAGATCTAGGGCATAGATATCATGCTTCCCCACACGATCAGAACAATGAAAGCATAGACTGAAGTAAGGAAGTCATCTACAACTACCACAAAAGAAGAAACCACTCCAAAGAGGATTGCAAAACCCTTAAAGTGTTGAATATCAAGTCTTTCTCATTCCACAAACGGGATGCAAAGTCAACTAAGAAATATGAGTAGAAAGAGATAACAATCCCGTAAATGACTGGCAACGCAAACCATGTGCCCGTACAAGCCACAATATAAAAACATTTTCAATTGGGTTTTAGTGAGTTTATATACTCACATATGCTAAAGGATGGACCTGTGATGCTGAATTTATACTCTCATGTTTGTTTAGGGTCTCAATTAGTCATGCGCTCGACCTATCCCACCAAGGTTACCATCCAAAATCACAGGTACAAAGATCTTGCTCCCCCTTGATGTTTCATAGGCCAATATCATCCATCATAAGGTTGACTAGACTGTCGTCCAAACAGGACAACCAAATAGATATAATTGAAATTAAGTCTCACTACTCGTACTTTATAAGAATCAATTACTATATGGCTATACTTCACTCCCTTTATTACAAAGGAAGAAACCATTTCAGTTTATGATACTTAACTTTTATCTTACAATATTTGAATTGGTTAAAATACTTAAAATACATATTCAAATAATATGTTAGTGTTGGAATGGTAACAATATTCAAAATAGTGTAATGGTAACAGTATTCAAAATTGGTGAAAATACTTAAAATACATATTCAAAAAATACATATTTGAAACCAACACTTAGTGTTGGAATGGTAACAATATTCAAAATAGTACAAACAAAATTTGGTACGCGGCGTGAATGGTTTGACATGGTCCCAATTTTGCACCCAAAAATGAATCATTAGGTTTTATAGTCTGGAACTTAACCACGATTGGAAGTGTGAAACTAGAACTAGTGTAAAGTTGGGGTGGTTCAAGTTAATGAGTGAACCAAAATTGAATATCTTTAATCTTAGTTCTATTTTCTTTTTCAAAAACTCAACAATCCTATTTAGAACCATCTGAAATGAGGTTTAGAACAATGACATGCACGTGTACAAGACTCCCTGACAGCGATAACCTAAATTCCATTAGCCTAGAGGTTCAATACAGTCCAAAGTTTCAAAATAGTTTCTTTGGTGGATAATCGATTCAAGATATAAAAGATGAGCGGAATTAGCAGGAGTAGGAAAGGACAATATGTATTTGGTTCATATATGTTATGACTCTTAGAATACACTCAAGAACAACGATATATTCTTACAATTTGCTCTAATATGGTCCACCTAGGTGGTTATGGATACAAAGAGTAAATGCTAATAAATGCAGAGTTGACAACCCCTCTCTTGATTTAAGAAAAGGTATTTATAGGGGAGGGTGGTAGTTGAGTTAAGTGGTGTGCCACCCTCTCGTTAGTCTAGTCCTTCTCAATTTCCCGCCGAAAGTGATGTTGTAGTTTGTCCTCTTTTTCAGTTGTATCTCGGGAAGTGTTGAGACGGCCCGCTCCGGTTGGGAAGTCGGCCGACGAAACAGGCCAATCAACATCATGTTATATATCGTGGCCAGGTATTAGTTTTTGCTCGGTATATATCCGTACGAGCGAACGAATGTCTTGATATCCTTCGATGCAAGTCATTTCCTTCGAGGTGGTTCCCTCAACGGTCTCGTTCGTTACTTCTAAATTGTATGAGATCCAGGCTAGGACCTTGTACGTGTATGAAGTTGGTCGGGGTCAGGAAGGCGGTATAGGGCCAACCTAGTGCCACTCGGTTCAATTGCCTCAATATCCCAACTCCCAATAGGTTAATATTTTTCAATCTGGGCACCTAAACTAAATGGGTGAAACTTGAGCATATTAGAATCTTAATCGACTTGTATATCCCATTCAAGGGCGGACGTACACTATAAGGAGAGTAAGCACAGGCTTCACCTCAAAAAATGTTGCTAGCCTAACTGGTAGTAGTGATAGAGTGAAGTTTCTTTGCAGACTACATGTCAATGGTTCGAAATTGCGTGGTTTCTAACCATTGACATGTAGCCTGCAAGAAACTTCACAAATGTGCTACATGTAGTATGGTTTCATTTTTTCCTGCGCTACACTAATGTGCTATCTGCCAATCTATCTGTAGTTGCCTTTGTTGTAACTTGTAAAAGTTTTAAGTGGGGAACGAATGGGTTGCTGCAGTTCAGGATCCAATATCTTTAAAATATAAAATATCTAAATTACAAATTCTCCACCCATATATTAATTAAACCTAATAGGCTAATACCCTAATAAATAACTTCTTCCAAAAATGTAAAGAGCAGAGTGAGATTTCACCCACTATTATATTACGGCCCTAAGGGTTTTCTAGGGGTGGGCAAAAATCCCGGTCCCGATGTCCCAAACCGAAAAATCCTGATACCGTTCCGAAACTATCCCGATCCATTTAGGATGCAATTATTTCATCCTGGAGCGGTCCCGCACCGATATTAACCGGGACGGGATCGGTATAGCTATAAAATATCATGTCCCGTCCCGGTGTCCCGTTTGAAATTAATATGTTATTTTAAATTTCTAATGCTATGTAATAGCTAAACCCAATTAAAACTTTCCAGTCCTTAGACTCCCTAGTGTAATTTTATCTTATTTCATGTCTCTCTTAGTCTCGTTTCTTTTGTTTCTTTTGATTAAAATTTGTTTAGTTCTCATTCCAATGCTAATCCATAATATATTATTACATGTGGAATACGGAGTATTATTTATGATGGAATAACTACTACTCCAAATTATAGTGTTGTTATAGATTTATTATTTTCCAAAATAACTATTGGAATATTAATAGTGTCTTTATAGATATGATATTTAATTTAATGCGGTATTTAAAAATCACAAGTGCACTAGAAAGTATAAAAATATTTTGAGCTACTATTCTACTAGAGGAAACACAAGATTAGGGGACCAAAAAAATTTACAAGACAAAAATTAAAAATAGTTAATTAAAGGTTTACTTAACTTTTTATGGAACCTAAATTTGCAAAAATAGCTACATATTTATTTTTGATGTTATGCTTATTTTTATATCACATTTCACAAATGCATTTATGGGACATCCCGAACCGTCCCGGTTTTTCTCGGGTTGTTCCGGTCCCGTTTTAAATGGGACAACATTGGGATAAATGCTTATCCCATACCGTACCGAACTGTTATTATAAAATCCGGACGGGATCGGGATAAGGCAAATCCCGGACTGTCCCGGACCATGCCCACCCCTAGGGTTTTCTATATTTTCTAAATATAAATTATTAGATCCTTATTAGTTATTACTCCATACTATTATTTTAACATGTCTATATTGTATTCTCTAATATTTCAATTTGCTTTTAACACAAATGTAACTTTAGTTTTTTGCTCTTATATTATGAACTGGATACATATTGACAATTATAATGTTATATACGCTCAAACATAGTGAAATGTGTTCTTTTGGTTGAGTTAAAACTATATTGTAAACTAGTAATTTGGGCAATATTTTTCATTATAATATTTTTATGAAAGTTATAAATTCTACTTTTATGAAATTCATATTGTAAATAATTTCTTATAAAAATATATTATTGGACAAAATTTAACTTGGTTGATCCAGTAATTCAAAGATAATAAAATTTTAATATACGGATGCCTATGGGAGTAATATACTAGTAGTACTATGTGTGCATACATTGGTCACCGTCTAGATCCGATGCCTAAGGGAGTAATATACTAGTAGTACTATGTGTGCATACATTGGTCACCGTCTAGATCCGCCACTGATCCCATTTAAGAAGTTATGAGTGCACTGCAATGCACTATTATTACTTTTTTATGTCACATGCTAGTTAAAGTTGAAAAGGTTCATAAGCCTCATGTAGTAGGTTTGATAGAAACGTTATCTAAAGGACTTATGCCCCCAATCAATTGTTCCTATGGATATGACTACCTCCGTCCCATTAACATCAGAACATGAGGATTGAGGAAGTCGTACTATTATAAAGAAAAGTGATTTTAGATGGTTAATATTGAATTGATAAGGTAAGAATAAAGCAAGAATGATCTAGACTCACACAAATTTTACAAAATTTGATGAGTCGATTTTAGTGAGATAGACTAAAAGAAAAGATGAAATAATCTTACTAGAATGAATGAGTGATATTTAGTGAGTAATTCCAAGGATAGTTATAACCATTCTTAATATGGTCAATTTTTTCATAACATGCAAATATTTATCCATTAACATTGTCATTACTTTGTACATTCATTATTTAAGGCACAAAAAAACTAATGTCCACTACTTGAGATTATTTCTAATGAATTTTATTGGGAATGAATATTCATCATTCTTTCATCATGAAAAAATGATCTTGAACAATACTTATGTGGTTACTTTCGGAAATGGCTATTTTATATGAGCTCGCGCTTTATTTCAATTTCATTAGAAAGTGAGGCAAAAAAATGTTTGCTCCTTTTCTTATTTAGCTGCAGTACTAGTTGAAGTGTTTGTTGTGACAATTGACAAACACAATTACAATTAAGCAAAACGCCATAAAGCGAAACACATTTGGAGAGAAGTTGGTCACATTCATTATTTTCCGGAACTAAAATAGTAATCATCATCTAATGACATTTCGAATATATAGATAAATATGTACCCTGATCATACAATGAACAATAAGGACTCTAATTGTAAAGGCTATTTCGGGTGAAATTCTACCTATACTAGACAGAATATTGTACTCACTACCTGCCTGGATTCTTCTTTTCTGGTTTTGTTTGAAGGGGGAAAAAAATAGAAAGAAATAAATCGAAATAATCGGAATCTATGTTTCTTTGACATCTATAATCGGCGCATAAAGATGGAGAATCATACGGTAACACGTACAAGAAGATTGCGATTATGCGATTCTGTCTCCGTCTCTCACTCTACTCTGTAACGGCCAAAAACACTACAACAACAAAGTGCAGGAGAAGTGACTGAGAAGAAAAGCATCCTTTTCTTTCACCGGCGCGCTTTTACGCTGCCAATCAACCACCGCCGGCGGCCGTCGTTGCCGCTTTGTTCGCCAGCCACGGGAATTGCATGCCGGCGGCAGGTAGATTAGATGGGAAGCAATCTCCGGCGAGATCTTCCAGTCCCTCGAAGAAGTCGTCCTCTGGGGCCTCCTCCACCCTGTCCGATGCCATATTGGACACGCCACATTCATCGTCTTCGTCCTCGCAGATATCTTCGTCCCTGCTGCTTTCTTGCTTTTCCGGCGCCGGAGAAGACGCCGGCGATGTATTCGCTGGATTGCGGCCATCGCCGGAGGTTTCCGCTTGATAAGGCGTCGGGGGCTTCTGGCGGGTGCTCCCTGCGAGCGAGTTCCGGTGGGTGGGCATGGCGTGGTTGTGCTCTGCTGTGTAGGTCACGATAAACATATTCGGGTCGGATCTATTCCGCTCCACTTGCTTTCGGGCCAAACACCCCTTTGATGTGCTACATCTGTAATAGCCCCTGTGTAAAATCAAATCAAATCAAATAAGAAAAGCAGAAGAAATTCAGATCATCCTGAACCTACATTATTATTTCTAATTTTACCAAAATTGACCTTTTCTGTACCTTGGGTATGGGGAGCCTTTGATGGGTTTTTGCCCATATTTTCTCCAAGACCACACATCAGAAGATAAACCCTCCGCTGGTACTTGGCAAACCCTCTTCAGCTGGTTCTTTCTATTAAAACCCAAAAAAAAAAAATCAAAAGACATCTATCAACAAAGGAATCAATCAGAGGAATTACTGTGGGTTTTTTACCGGAATAGAAAAAAGATTCTTCTAGTTCATCAAGTACCTTCTTTTGCCTTTTGGGCTTGGAGCGTGTGTAGGTGTAGAAGCAATATTTAGAGGGAAAGATGGCTTCTTTGGGAGAATAATTGGAGCAGAGGAAGAAGGGATATGGGAGTTGAGGATTTGGTGGGTGGGGGACAGATCTTGCAATCCTCCAAGAACAGAGAGGGGGGAGATTGGGGTGGGCTGTGAAGGGGAGAAAGCCCGCTGCTTTTGCTGAAAAGATGCCTGAGGAGGAAGCGGCGGCGGTGGCGGTGCCGGAAAGAAAGGTTTATAGAGGTCATGCAACTCTTCGTTGAAACACCACCTGCTGCTACAGATGCTCTCATTTATTGGTGATGATGAGGATGCCCCAAATTCGAACAGATCTTGTATGCCAAGCAAGTCTTGGTCTTGCCTTGGTTGGAAGCTGCACGGAGAGGTTGTGCTAGCGGCGGCGGCGGAGGAAACCGGAGAAGAAGAGGAAGCGGTGGAGGCAGCGCAGCCTCTGACCACCGCATATAGATCCCAATCGTCCTCCATTCCTCCCCTATCCCAGCTCTGATGCCCTTGACTTTTTAGAGAGAGAGTATGGGAAAAAAGAGACAAAAGAAGGCGCTGACTTTTGAATGTGAAGAGAGAGAGAGAGAGAGTGGGTGAGGGGAAATCAGAAATGAAATAAGGAAAACAGGTGGGAATACAAGTGAGTAAGCACAATATAGAGAGAGAGAGATTTGGGTGGTTTTCACTGTAGAGAGGAGAGAGAGAGGGGGAAGCGATTGGAATATTTGTGTCTGCCTGTCCGTCCCTGTGGCTAATGCGGCTGACCAGAATTAAGTCAATTAACTCCCACTCGATACCATGGCATAGCCCTCTTCTGTACCAAGTATTAAAAGTATATAATGAGTAGGACAGTGTAGTCATTATGTAACACATTAACTAAAGTGAATGATAAGATCATCATATAAAAGGGTTAAGGCTGTCCATTCTTATAAACTTACGAATCCTAATCGATCGATTAAGGAAACTATGAACTTTCATTAAAAGGTCGAATAAGTCCTTATATAGGAGGCCGTCGCGATTTGCGGTGGTTCCTAGTGAAATTTTTTGATGAAAATTCTTGAGCATCTTATTCATGAAGTGTAGTTTACTCATACCAAATTTTAGCTAAAACTTCAATCGGGGACGCATTCAAATTAATTCTTGAAGATACCTGCGCATTTAACTGCACAGTTATCTTCAAGAATTAATTTGAATGAGTTCACGAATTAAGTTTTACCTGAAATTTGGTATGAGTAAACTAGACTTCATGAATAAGATACTCAAAAGTTTTCATCAAAAAAATTCTACCGGGAACCGCCCCAAATTGCGATGGCCTAACAGAACCTTCTATATAAGGACTTATTTGACTTATTTATGAAAGTTTGAGGACCAATTTGACAGTTTTCCCTTTTATTAATGATATACGGAGTATATTTTAAATTTAATTTTCAATAATTTCAACAGGTTCGATTAATTTTAGTGTTATCAATCTGATTTTTAAATGTACATATGTGCTAGAAAGCGTGTGTTTAATACATAAATAATATGGCCCAATAATGTCTAACCATATGTTACCAAATTATACTCCCTCCGTCTCATAACTTTCATAATTTTTCTTTTTTATATGTCCCACTAACTTTGTCACTTTCTCATTTAAGTAAAGAATTTGTGGTTGCAGTTCATTCTTTGTCCTCTGCACAAACCTCAACCACACAATTTTTACTTTATTATTTCTTGTGCCGATCAAACTTGACAAAGTTATTAGGGACAGAAGGAGTATCTATTAAGATCCTAGGTTTCATCCTAAAAGGTCAACCTGATAGGAGGAGTAGTTCATGTATTAATATAGCATTTTGTTCACCCAAACTTTTCCGGTGTGGGACATTTAACAATATCCCAGAATGCCTTCACCAAGAGGAAAACACCATTGCTAGTCTTGGGTTTTGGGTTGAACTACATGTTTAGTTGAATGTTGTTGGGAAAATGTGTTAAAAATTGCATTAAAAGGTAATTTTGGAGCAATATTTTGAGTGGGGTCCACTTCCGATTTGGGTCGGGTCAAAGTGGTTTTGGATTGTCCTTGTTATAGGCTAAAATTCGATATGTAGTACGCTCAAAACAGATAACGGGTGAATGCGAAATTGATTCTCGAAGTTCACTCGTTAGAATGGAAAAAGTGGGAAAAGTGATGAGTTTCTAGTGTGTTATTTCCCACACCGGAAAACCCAAGGGATTTGAACCCCTTATAAAGGAAAGCTTATTCTAAGGAGTTAAGATTCTTAGGTGGAAAGACTATCTTTGCGCACGGGGGGGGGGGTGCGAATCAAATCCCGAAAACGGAATAAGAAAAACCACGACATGCGAACACGAATGTCGTCCAAAAATCTATCATTCAAAGATACGATTTAATCTTTGTTTCTTCCCGTAACGTTTTATTTTTTCCCAGAACCAGAAGCGCTCGAGAGCAAAACACCTCTTCTTTCCGCAGCAGAACTGCTCGCCCTGCAGAAGACCTCAGAACCAGAACACCCAGGGGTGTTCTGCCGCTCCGGAACCAGACAATATATTATTAATGCCCAACGTGCTGAACCGTTACGGAATTTATTGTCCAACGTTCTTATCTTTTAATGCTTCTTTAAATGGACAGTTTTATGACATATTAATGCCCAACGTGCTGGTCATTTATGTCCAACGTTCGGGTCCATTAAAGGTCACATAACACACAACAAATCCTCCTATAAATTGGCTAGTGGATGGTTTGCAATAAAAAACATTCACAAACGAACTCACATACTTTTGAGCTCTGAAAAACATCTCTAGCATTCCCAAAATTCATTTGTGTTCTGCCTTTGCTTACGTTCGCCGGAACTGTCGTTTGAATGCTCAAACCATTGCTCGTTAGTCATCGTATCCTGAGAAACGATTGTTGCAACGCTCCTAGCACCCCGAGAGGCAACGAATATGTTTTAAGAAAATCGTGCGTAGCACGAGTTTTTGGCTAAATTCTGCTTCATCTATTTTCTGTTTTTCTTTGTCATTTAAATTAATTTTAATTAATTAATTTTTCTTTGTTTTTCGAAACACACCCAACAAATGTTACAAATGTTACTGAAAAGTATATATGACTAAAATATATATGACTAAATCTAAAAATACAACATACAAGTTCGCATTCGTGCTCTAAAACTCTCAAAGGGACTATACTTACCAATGTTGTCAGGGTGAATGCATATTGATAGAAATTTAAAAATTGTGCTTTCCTCATTCAATATAAGTCCCGGGACCCCACAATTTTATTTAAAAAAAGAACTACATATTTTATATATTTTTTTTTATAAAAACAGGCTCAAAATTAATAATGTAATATTTAGGGTTTATCTTGTAATATTCTCAAACTCTGTTTTATTATAAACATGAGTCTCAGGCACCCAATTGGGTAAGCCATTATTCCCAACAATCTATTCTCTCATATGGTATCAGTTGCATAGGGTTTAATTTTTTTTTCAATGGCGATCAACCATCGTCCACGCCGCTCACCTCTGCGGTCACAATGCCAAGTTCAGCGGCCATGGCGCCCTCCTCACAGGTGCAGCCGCCGCAGAACACCAGCGCTCCAGTCATCACTTTCGGCTCCTCTACCTTTGAGACTGGTTCGAGCAGCAATCATACCCACGCCGCATCTCCGCTTGCTGCATCTCTTGCGCAGCGGATCAGCGCCATCCCACCGCTTGATCCCTACCGGTTATTTACTATGCCAGAGCCATTCACATGGTCCTCAACGCCGTCTATGCCACCGCCACCGGTTTTCACGTCACCTCCGGTCTTCAGCGAGTCAGCACCAAAGTTCTCAGGCTCAACTCTCTCCGGTCACACAGGAGTACAGTCCATGCCATCAACGTCCCAGTTCGCTTCACCAGGTTTCTTATCACCTTCTGCTTCTATTTCGTCCCTGGCATCCCAATTAGCTTTCTTCACACCGAATGTAACTAATATTGTGACTACACGGTTGTCCACCGTTGAAGACTATTTGCCCTGGCGCACTCAGTTTGAGTCATTCTTAGTATCTCATAGTCTGTTAGGGATACTAGATGGCTCCATTCGAGTGCCGTCCCCTACTGTTTTTGATCTGGCTAGGCCTGAGACACCTAATGAAGAGTATCATCAATGGCTAAAAATCGATCAAACTGTTAGGTCTTGGTTATTTGCTACTCTTGGCAGGGATGTTCTAATGGAGGTTTATACCCTCAACCACTCTCAACAAGTGTGGATGAGATTAGAAACTCGTTTTATGTCAGCCTGCTATACTAGATCCATAGAATTGAAACGGTCATTATCACATGTTAAAAAGAAAGCATCTCAGACTATGGTTCAGTATTTGTTGGAAATCAAGCTTATACCGGATTCTCTTGCGACCATTAATTCCCCTATCAGTAACCGGGATTTTATCCAATATGCCATTCTTGGACTCGAACCTGGTTACACATCCCTCATCAATACACTCAACTATTTTCCGGGGGATGCTGATTTGGAGACACTTCGGCCCTTTCTTCAGGCTCAGGAACAACGAGATGCCTTCTTGCAGACGCAGGACACTCCTCCAGAACATCAAGCATTTGCAGCAGCTCAAGCACCTGCTGGCCGAGGAGGTGGTCGCGGTGGTGCTCCTGTTCGATGAGGTGCTCCTGCTGGCAGAGGGCACCGTGGTGGACGAGCTCGCGGGGGACGCGGGCGTGGTGGCCGAGGCCACAACCAGCAGTATCCGCAGTACCAGCAACATGGGGCTGGTGGTTTTCCCGGTTGTGGTGCTCCTCCTCCACGTGGACCTCCATATGCTGGTGGCGCAGGTTTGGTGTTGAGTAATGTTAGTTCTGGTTTCGGTTTTACTAATCACTTTCCTACGTGTGTTACTCATACTGTTAGTGCAGGTTTTCCATCTGTAGACAATTCTTATCAGTCACCTGCTCCTCCAGTCGTCTGTCAGCTGTGTTTTTCTCCATGTCACTCCGCCCTGATGTGTCCTCGTTTTACTGCTCACAATACTCCTGCCCTTGCGGCTCTTCCCACAGGTGAGACGCATCACGCATGATTCGGTCTGGTATCCTGATCCTGGAGCTTCCGCTCACATGACTCCTCATGAAGGTATTTTATCTTCTAAATTTATTTACACTGGCTCGAATAAAGTATGTGTTGCTAACGGTACCAAATTACCTATTTCTCATGTTGGTCACGTTAAATTATTCACAAATGGTTGCCCGCTACAACTTAACTCTGTTTATCATGTCCCACGCATTAAATATAATTTACTTTCTATACAAAAATTGTGTGCGAATAATGTCTGTCAAGTAATTTTGATAAAAATTCTTTTTCTGTTAAGGACAATCAAACGGGGGAGCTTCTTCTTTAGGCACCTAATAAAGATCATGTCTACCCTTTTTCTGCTTTCCAAGCCCGGGTTGTACTTGGTCCTATTTGGCACAAGCGTCTAGGGCATTGTGGTGATCGAGTTCTTTGTACACTTAGGCGAAATAAATTTATTACTAGTTCTTCTGATTTTCATCATGACTGGGTTTCTTGTAAGTTGGGTAAATCCCATAGACTTCCTTTTACTGATGTTAATCATGATACTTCTGCTCCTCTAGAGCTCGTTCACTCTGACGTTTGGCAATCGCCCATTATTTCAAATCTTGGTTTTAAGTATCATGTGTCGTTTATTGATGATTTTTCACGTTATACGTGGGTTTATCCGATGCGTAGAAAATCTGAAGTGTTCACCCATTTTATTAATTTTCAGAAACTTGTTGAAAATCTTCTGAATGTGAAAATAAAAAAATTTCAGAGTGATGGTGGTGGAGAATTTGATAACTCTATTTTTCAC